GCTGCAGCATAACCATCCTAAATCTTTGATTTTATCAGAAGGGTATTTTCAATGGAGAGGACAGAATCATGTCAGAGACTGAAGTTACCTTCCAAGCAACAGTTTTCAGAATATAGAATAAGGTCAAGTGAATACAGGCAAGAGTTTAAAGAACCTAGTGACTTTAAATCACTTTAGTGATTTTTGCTCTCATGAAGTTCAGAAAGCTCTGGGTAAAGGATAAAAGAGGAGTTGAATAGCCTTTTGGCTTGAAAATTGTTGAATAAGACAATTCAACAGTTGTTGTACAAGAACCAGTACAGTGCACACATTTACTCATCAGTGAAGGAAGGAAAAGAGTAGGGAATCCAGAATAATTCCATAGAAAGCGTTGTACATTTGTAGAACCTTCTTTTTTTTATAAAAAAATAAATATATATATACATATATATTATTTAACATGGAAAGTGTTTTATTGAAGAATAAAACCACTTCAAAATCCCTTGAAAAGCAGCATAGTCTACAGATAAAATTCTTAGGAAGAAAATAATCATCAGAATCATGTTGAAATTGACACCAAACTGTATCTGTCTTCTGAGCTATCATTGTAATCAATGAAGAACTGTTCATTAAAGTCAATAAAGCATAAAGAGCAATTGAGCTGATCACGAAGTTTGGGAACTTGAGCCTATTACACACAGAATCACACACAGAATTTCTAGGTTGGAAGAGACCTCAAGATCATCGAGTCCAACCTCTAACCTAACACTAACAGTCCCCACTAAACCATATCCCTAAGCTCTACATCAAAACATCTTTTAAAGACTTCCAGGGATGGTGACTCCACCACTTCCCTGGGCAGCCTGTTCCAGTGCCTAACAACCCTTTCAGTAAAGAAGTTCTTCCTAATATCCAGCCTAAAACTCCCCTGGCGCAACTTAAGCCCATTCCCCCTCGTCCTGTCACCAGGCACGTGGGAGAATAGACCAACCCCCACCTCACTACAGCCTCCTTTAAGGTATCTGTAAAGAGCAATAAGGTCACCCCTGAGCCTCCTCTTCTCCAGGCTGAACAAGCCCAGCTCCCTCAGCCACTCCTTGCAGGACTTGTTCTCCAGACCCCTCACCATCTTCATCGCCCTTCCCTGGACCCGCTCAAGCACCTCGATGTCCTTCTTGTAGCGAGGGGCCCAAAACTGAACACAGTACTCAAGGTGCGGCCTCACCAGAGACAAGTACAGGGGGACGATCACCTCAAGGTGTTATTATATGATGCCATGCTCACCAATAAAAACTGGGTGAAGATGAAGGAAGGGGGGACATTAGGAGTTATAGCATTTGTCTTCCCAAGTAACCATTGCATGTGGTGAGCCATCGAATATGCCATGGACATCATGAATAATGTGCTTTGTCCTTTGTGCATCCATGTGGAATATTTTGGTTTTATGCTATTTGAAACTAAATTCAAACCACTTACTGCCATAAGCAAGGATGGGGATGGATGTACCAGTGAGGAGAGTCTAAGCCCTACTCATAATTTTGGGAGAGCGATCTCAGTTCTTCTGTTGGTGGAGGTTACTGGTCTCTGGAGGATGGTGAAAGATGGGCAATAAGATATTCAGAAGAAAAGAAAGAAAGAAGGGAAGAAGACAAAGGCCTCATAGAAGACTTTATTGCCATTATCAAAAAACTGCCTAGTGATTATACTTCTACAGTATATAGAATAATCAAAGCTTTGATGCAGTTGGGGATAGAGGGCAAAGAAGGTTTAAACTTATAAATGTACTGACTAGATAACCTATTAAACAAAAATACTCTGGAGTAAAATCTATTTCCTATCAGTAAATAAATATGAAATAAACTGGGAACAAAGCTATTGTGGTTGCACACAAAATACAGCTTGAAGTGACTAAACAATTGCTGAAGATGTGCCAGTGGGATGACACTGTAAATTAACTAAGGAGTCAGTGCCACAGTGGTACTTCTTTTGTCTCTATCATCACTTTTACAAGAAGCTTTAAAGATAATGTCTTGACTTAAAGACATTTTGGAATTGAAATACCTGACAGAATGGATGATTACTTCTCATACTGAACTTAAATGAACAGCCTTATTATGGAATTTCTTAAGTCTTGGATAGTGCAATTCAAAGGAAGCTGTTTGCATCGGTGGAGAAAAAAAAAAAAAAAAAAAAAAAAAAAAAAAAGCAAACCCTTCCGGTAATCAATTAGATGAAAAACACAAGAATTAGGTTACATGATAAGTCTTGCCTGCACACACAAAGGATTACAGACAATTGCAGATCGTGGCAGTCAAAGTAACACCTTGCCAGGCCTGTCACAGAAGCCATCAGCCTATCAAAGGCCCATCTCCACAGGCCCGGAGGGGCACACAGACATAATGTGGGACAGGTGAGAAGCTAAAACAAGGACTCAGAGGGTACCCTGTCTGATACCCTCCGAAGGTTGTCCTGGGACAGTCTTGGCCCCAGCTTCCAGGTGTAATGAATGTGATGAACCCATTTTGATGCCTTCATCATGATGAGACAATGCCAGACTAAGGACTAAGGAAACTGCCTAGGGCTGTGGGACTGTCAGTTCTGGATTGCACAGGATGGGATGTTTAGGGGAGGAACCAAAGGCAGAGCAAAGGAAATATTTAAGTCTTCTGGGGAGGAACAAACATGGAAAAATAGAAGGACAAGGATATGAAAATGTATTGGCTGCATGTAAGTAGGTTTCTGGTCAGCACACTTGTCCGGCCGTGCTGTGTCTTACTGAATTCCTTTCTAACATTTTTTTCCTGGTAGAGGGGCTCTGTCTACATCCATTGTGCTCAGCCAGAAAGGGTAGAAGTATGAGGCTGCTGGGGATGTCTGTGTTTGTGCAAGTGCTCTGTCTGTCTGTATCTAATTAGTGTGGCTGGCCATGTATATACATATACACATATAGAAGGATATGTGCATATATGTAGTTTATATGCATGCTCTGTTCATACACCTACTGCCACTTCAGCCTCACTACAGTGGGCACACAGCTGCAATAGCCTCACTGCTCACGGGATGTCAGATACAGCTTGACATATTTCCCTCTAACAACCAAAGCAGAGGATACCTTACAATGATAGTGCAGAGGATTTAGTTAAAAATTACACCTGTAAGCATAAGACTATTGATGCTTTACTTAGACATCGGTATTTTGTGAAAGTAGGTTGAAAGTTTGCATTTTATTAACTTTGATTGGCTTAGGAGGAAAGATGTAGATCACAATAGTTTGAAGAATTTCTTAGAAGTAGCACTACTAGTTTTGTGGCATAGGGATCATTTTACATAAACCAAATAAACTGGGTTTGAATCTATTTCATTTTATTTTATTAATCTAAAAGTTAAAGGTGCTTGCTTAGGTTCTCCAGATCATGAACATTTTAGGGTGGGAAGAATCACTCTGTCCTTCCATTGTCTATCATGGAAAGTCATGTAAAGTAGGTGATTTTTTAAGATCTATACTTGAAAGAAACACTCTGACTAGAAGCCATATAGTGAATGAAACAGATCTGCAAAAAATTTTTGCACTATATCGGCTAGCACAGGACTCGTATTCCAGGTAATCTTTCTGTGGCTGTTGTCATTATTGCTGCTGGGCACAGAGTGAAGTTAATTGCCACTAAATAATATCTACTAGGCTGCAGTTTAAATAACACCATAAAAATCCTAAGAAAATAAGCAGTATCTATCTGTTTTGTTCAATAAATGCATGAGAAAAAAAGTGAAACAAAAAATAACCTAGCTAGAAATGCTTTTTTTCCCAGGCAAATTATTTCAGTTATACTGTATTATGGTATTTAGATTGTGTATGTACTAAAGTCTGTCACATACCATCCTGGAAAGCAATCATACTACCCATTCCCAAAGACAAGCTTCACTCTAATATTATTTTTTTATCCTACTGTTAGTTTCAGAAGGCTGTCATGATTTCATGTTCTTCATCCTGCTTATTTTCTCTTTTCCCATCTAATTTACATCCATAGATGCTCAAGCCAAAATTGTTTTTAGCTGAATTTAGTACTTGGTCCTACTGTTCTTCCCATCCTTTTACTCTTTTTTTTTTTTTTTCATGGGATCATGGTCACCCTTAAAGGTGTGGTCAGTTTTCTTGTCGCCAGTCATAACTTCTTAGCCACTGTTTGTTATTCTCCGTATAAAGGCAACTGTATTTTAAAATCTTAATGCTGTGTAAATTGGTGTAAATGGTTCTCAGTGGATCTCACTTGCTAACATTGTACAAACATTTTAAAACAATCTGTCCACAGAAAATCATTGAGAGAATATGATGCCCTTTTTAACATATACAAGTGCATCTTATTTACTTTTTTGTGTGTGTGTGTGTGTGTTTTGTGTGTGTGTGTGTTGTTTTTTTTTTCTTCTTTTTTTTTAAGGTAAAATTGGTATGAACAGAAAAAAAAGCACTTCCCCCCATCCTCAGAGTAGGGGAACTAAATTACTTTATATTGATATTATGAAACTATACCTATGTTAAGTGAAAATTATTCTCTTACCTCATCAAATCAAAACAGAATTACTTATCAATGGGTCAACTTTGTAGCTTCCCCTCTCTCCTCACCTTTTTCCCATACTCCTACATTTTCCCTTTGATTTTGCTGAACAGTGACAGATTTCTGTCCCATTGATGTTTTAATTCATGTACATACTTTCAGATATAAACACATCACTAAGAGCAAAGCTGACATAAAACATAAATACTTGCACCTATATTGTGCCTGAAGAAGTAAATTGGAGTGGACAGAGGTGAAGGCTAGCAATGAATATACCTGGGCAAATTTTTCATGTTCTGCTACAAAGTCTGCCTGCCACCATGAAGCGATCAACTGCATAACTTACATCTGATAATATAATTCCTCTCGTTTCAGAAAAAGAGGGTAGATAGTGTTTTGCATAATAAAAGGACTAAAAGTGCATTGATTCTGATTCTACTGTTGTTTGAAAGGAAAAATATCTGATCCTACCTCTTCACAGGCGGTCCTGAAATCCATGTGCTATGACACAGCAAGTGATATTTGTCTAAAATAGAGAGAAAGATATCATTAGAATGAAAAGGATATTGCAAAACATAGAAGTTACCTATATGAGTGTGCAACTGATCTACCCTTTGTCAGGTCCAGTTATAGTCATTGCGTAAAAAGAGAAATGATCAAAGTTGCAACAGGATTAGGAAGTATAAGATATTAAAATTGTTCCTGCTTCTTATAAAGTATACAACTTGGTTTCACTGAGTATGATCAGAGGAATTCTCATGCTCCCACAATTTCCTTCCACTCATGGGACATAAAAACTTACGTTTCTTATTCCAAGGGTGAGTTTATTTTTCATTTATTTTCAAAAGTAGGGGCACATTGGAAAGTAACACTTCAGAAAGAAACAATTAAGTGTTGCTCTTCAGAATGCCCTCTCTCTCATGAAAGATTGTTTGTTTTGTTTTTCTTTTCTCCCATAATTAAAAACCATCAAGCATCAATACCTTTGTCTCACATTTATAATCTCTCCCAGGGAGCCAGTGTCATTTAACAGTGTCTTAAAAACAGAAATACTTATGAGTTGAAAAAACAAATGTTAAAAAAGTCAGGAATATATGTGAGGACTGGCAAAATGTCACACCAAATCCTGTGATTATTACTTTGCTGGGCCTCTACCAAACATGTACTCATCCCAATGCACACTTATGCATTCATTTATTTATGAGATAAAGCTACTGGAACAGGCTTTTTAACAGAGGATAATAACAGTGTCCTACTGTTGGTTTAGCAACAGAAATGCTCATATATCTGCCAATAACATTTCCCGGAAACACTTCCTGGGCAAAGCAGACATTTCATTCAATGACTGGAGATACAAAACCTATAACCCAGTTCTCTATCCTATGACTTGCAGGCTGTCATGGAAAATAAAACAATTGGCCTTCAGCAAGGCAGTCCTCAAACTATAAATACTGCTTCCCACTATCTGTTGATACATGGTGAATCTACCTGCTGATCACCTTGGTGACACTTCATTTTTTCCCTTATATTCTAAATTACACATAGATAAAATAGAAAATACAACAAATACTCTCCTAACATCCATTTTCCCAGTAAAATAATATCTTTGGTTTCCAAAGAAATGTTACTCATAGAGTTTTATTGAATCGTAAAATGGTTTGGGGTGGAAGGGACCTTAAAGATCCCCTAGTTCCAACCCCCCACCATAGGCAGGGACACCTCCTGATCAGGTTGATTAGCGCTTCATCTAACCTGGTCTTTAACACTTCCAGAGATGGGGCATCCACAGCTTCTCTGGGCAACCTGTTATAGTGCCTCACCACACTCTGAGTGAAAAATTTATTCCTAATATTTAATCCAAATCTATGCTCTTTTACTTCTAAGTCATTACCTCTTGTCCTATTACTACTCTCCCTGATAAAGGGTCCTTCTCCAACTTTCTTGTGGGCTCTCTTTAGGTACTACAGGCTGTTATATGTTTTCCCTGGAGCCTCCTCTTCACTGTGCTAAATAACCACAACTTTCTCAGTTTTTCTTCACAGGAGAGGTGCTCCATCCCTCTGATCTTCCTCATGGACATCCTCAGGACTCATGGACTCATTCCAACAGGTCTACGTCTTTCTTATTACAGAATTATAGAATTACAGAATTGGAAAGGACCTCAAGAGATCATCAGGTCCAACCCCCCTGCCAAAGCAGGTTCCCTAGAGCTGGTTGCCCAGGGAGGTGTCCAGACAGGCCTTGAATATCTCCAGAGAAGGAGACTCCACAACCTCCGTGGGCAGCCTGTTCCAATGCTCCATCACTCTCACAGTGAAGAACTTCTTTCACATATTGGTGCAGAACTTCCTGTGATAGATTTTTTTGACCATTGCCCCTTGTCCTATCACCACAAACCACCAAAAAGAGGTTGGCCAAATCCCACTGTCTGCCACACTTCAGATATTTGTAAACATTGATAAGATCCCCTCTCAGTCTTCTCTTCTCAAGGCGGAACAGAAAGGTCTCTCAGCCTTTCCTCATAGGGAAGATGCTCCAGGCCCTGTATCATCTTTGCTGCCCTCTGCTGAACTCTTTCCAGGAGATCCTTTTCTTTCTTGTAGTCTTATCAGACTTGGGAGATTGTATAAAATCATGGGATCATAGAATCATAGATTGGTTTGTTTTGGAAGGGACCTTAAAGATCATCTAATTCCACCCCCCTGCCATGGGCAGGGACAACTTCCACTAGACCAGGGTGCCCCAAGCCACATCCAATCTGGCCTTGAACACCTCCAGGGATGATGCATCCACAGCTTCTCCAGGCAACCTGTAACAGTACCTCATCACCTCATTGTAAACAATTTAATCCTTATATCTAATCTACATCTTTTTTAGTTTAAAGCTGTTACTCCTGGCCCTATCACTCCACTTCCTGATGAAGAGCCCCTCCTCAGCTTTCCTGTAGGCCCCCCTTAGGCATTAGAAGGCTGTTATAAGGTCTCCCTGGAACCTTCTCTTCTCCAGGCTGAACAACCCCAACTCCTTCAGCCTGTCTTCATAGCAGAGATACTTCAGCCCATTGATCACCCTAATGAACTTCCTCTGTACTCACTCTAATACGTTCATGTTCTTCTTTTATTGGGGGAACACAATACTCCAGGTGGGGTCTCATGAGAGCACAGTGAAGGGGAAGAATCACCTCCCTCATCCTGCTGACCATGCTTCTTTTGCTGCAGCCCAGGATACTGTTGGCTTTCGGGCTGCATGAGCACATTGCCTGCTCACATTAAGCTTCTCATCAATCAACAACCCTAGGTCCTTCTCCTCGGGGCTGCTCTCAATCCATTCTCCCTGCAACCTGTATTTGTGCATGGGATTGCCCTGACCCAGATGCAGGACCTTGCACTTGGCTTTCATGAGGTTTGAACAGGCCCATCTCTCAAGCCTATCCAAATCCCTCTGGATGGCATCCCTTCCTGCCAATGTGTTGACTGCACCACATGGCTTGGTGTCATTGGCAAACTTCACGAGGGTGCACTCAATTCTATTGTCTATGCCACTAAAAAAGAACAGCACTGGTCCTAATACCAATCCCTACGGAGCATGACTCATCATTGGTCTCCACTTGGACATTGAACCAACTCCTTGAGTGCAACCATCCAGCCAATTCCTTACGCACCAAGTGGTCCATCCACCAAATCCATGTCCCTCCAATTTAGACACAAGGATGTCATGTGAGACAGTATCAAATGCTTTGCACAAGCCTAGGTAGATGGTGTAAGTTCCTCCTCCCTTATCCAACAATGTTGTAACCCTGATGTAGAAGGCCACCGGATTTGTCAGGCATGATCCGCCCTCAGCGAAGCTATGTTGGCTGTCCCCAGTCACCTCTTTGTTTTCCATGTGCCTTAGAATAGTTTCCAGGAGGATCTGCTTCATGACCTTTCTGAGCACAGAGGTGAAGTTGGCCTGTAGTTTCCTGGGAACTCCTCTTTTTCCTTTTTAAAAATGGGGGTTATGTTTCCCCTCTTCCAGTCAGTGGGAACTTCAACAGACTACAAAAATTTTTCAAATATGATGGGCAGAGGCTTAGTAACTTCATCCACCAGCATCCTTGGATGAATCTTATCAGGTCCCATGGACATGTGCACCTCCAGGTTCTTTAGGTGGTGTTGAACTCAATCTTCTCCGACAGTGGGCAGTTCTTCATTTTCCCCTTCCTTTTTTTTTTTTTTTTTTTTTTTTTTTTAGGCATTCAACCACTCAGCCACTAATCTTTGCAATATGGCTGCCATTGTTTCTATATTACACTATTTTTCCAACTGGTTCTTGCCTGTGGCTTGGCTCACAGTGGAAATCAAGCCCATTACCAATGTTTCTTTTTCGGTCCATCAACTTTTTTTTAACTGTTGATATGCAAGTAATAGTACACACAAGCACAGATTACATTAGAAACATCATTTTTCCCCCACATTTCTACTCTGAATAAACTCTCTAGATTACTAAATTACAGGAGTATATATCATACATAACAAATAAGTTTTATGATATTTTACTGATAAAATGTTCTAATGATTGGTTATTATCTCCTCCTGTAATACATTTTAAAAAGCAGAAAATACAGAACCAAGCAATTTTAAAACCAAAGAGTTTTTAAAACGATGAATTGCAAAACCCACTGCTGACAGATATCCCTTGGTCTGCCTCTGGCTAACCTCAGCAATCCCCTTACCTTCAAATCACAGCCGTGTTCAGCTGAGAACCTTTCCAATTCTCTGAGGAGCTCCCTTCAGTCTCACACAGACAGACCACTGGTTACCAGCACAGAAACTCCTTTGGCCTCAATATTTGATTTTCCTTTGTCCTTTCTCACCCATAGGTTGACACAAACTGCAACCCAGAAGGTGAGAAAGGAGCTGGCAGTGACCTTCAAAGGCTGAGGTACAGAGGAAAAGAAGCAGTGTTGGGACAGGATAGGGTGCGTAAGCACAGAGAGAAGCACAAGCAATGTGTATTATTCAAAGAGAAGGAATGGCTGAATAGCAATGAGCCTTCCTCTGAAAGGGTTTGGGGCATGCAATCAAGGAAATGTAAACAAGCAGGCTTCAAAATGTTACTTTCCTTCCTTTCTACATGATTTCCGTTCTGTAATTCCTCAAAAACTGAGTTACCAAACTTATTTAGCTCATCTCTGTTGATAGATGTAAAGGAAGTAACGTATGAATGACAGAATGGGAACAGAATTTGACACCCCCTTGGCAGAACAAGCAGTTATTCAACACCACAAATAAATAAATAAATAAATACTGTGCGATATTACTATGGCATTTGTGTTCTAAAGGGAAATCAATGGCTAAAACATAATGGTAAAGTTGAAGGCAATGGAAACCTTCAGAGACAAAGCTTCATTTAGGCTAACGCACTGAAGACTTGAGCTATGCTCAGATCTTCCTGTAATAAATCAGGTCATATTCCAGTAGTATAATAGATGTAATTTCACCATGACTGGAGAATACTTCGGTATATATAATATAATAAGACAGC